AAATAATTAAAAAATAAAAATAAAAATAAAATACTAGACTAGGGGCTGGGGCTGTGGCTCAGTGGCAGAGTCCTTGCCTAGCATGTGTGACATACTGGGTTCCATTCTCAGCACCACATACAAATAAATTTAAAAAAATTCATCAACAACTAATAAAAATATTTTAAAAATATAGAATAAACAACACAATTCTAAATAAAAAATGGTCCAAAGAAAAAGTCTTAAGATAAACTTAAAAAATATTTTTAACTAAAAGAACACAAATATCAAAATTTGCAGAATGCAGGGAAAGCAGTGCTAGAGGGAAATCAGTAGCACTGGACACACACATCAGAAAGCAATCAGCCCTCTAATCCTTTGCCTTAGTAAACAGAAAAAGAAGAACAAATTAAATCCAAAGCAGCAAGATAAAGGAAACGTAAAAACAGCAAAAAATGAAAATATCAAAAACAGAAAATTGAGGAAACTAAACATGAAGGTTTCACAAAAATCCATAAAACTGATAAACCTCTCACCAGACTAAGAATAAGAGAAAACACAAATCACTGATATCCAAGATGCACGGGACCTTCACTACGGTCCCAGGGATGCTGAGAGGGTGACAAAGGAACTTAAGGATCCCCTCATCTGACAACCCACAAAACATGAGCCAATTCTTTGAAAAACACCACCCACCAAACCACTCTAGAGAAAGAGGTGATCCACGCAGGCCATGTCTGTCAGATCAACTGAGTCGATAATTAGTGACCTCCCCGTCCGGAAAGCCCCAGGCACAGACGGGTTCGCTGGTGAGCGCCTCCAAACCTTTAAGGGGGAAACAACGCTGGTTCCATACAATCTCTTCCAGAAAACAGAAGCAGACGGAGCACTTCTTAACTCGTTCTATGAGGTCAGGATCACCCTCATGAAAAATCGAGCAAAAACATCACATAAAATAAAACCATACAATAATATGCCTTGTGAACATAGATGCAAAAATCCTCAACAAAATGGCAAATCAAACCCAACAATATGTTAAAGAAAAATTCACCACCTCCATGTGGGTGTTATACTAGGTACACGCACTGATATTTAAAAATCAACATTTTCCATTGTATCAACAGGCTAAAGAAAACAAATCATATTGTCATACCAAGAGAGACATAAAGAGTCTGACAAAATTCAACACATACTCAAAGTTTTAAAAAAAAAAAAACTCTGAGCAAACTGGGAGATAAAAGGGACTTTCCTTGACTTGCTAAAAAACATGCAAAAGAGATCTACAATCAGTCTCATAACTGATGTGAGAAACTAGATGCTCTCCACTAGAACTGGGACAAAGTGGGGACATCCCTTGTGCCTGTGCCTATTCAGTTTTGTACTAGAAGCTCTTGACAATCCAAAAAAAAAAAAATCTGGAAATAAAGATATACAGAATTACAATGGAGAAATAAAATTTGTCTTTGTTTATAGAAGACATGATGGTAGAAAATCTCAAAGAATAAAAATGACTTCTCCACCCAATAGGTGAGTACAGCAAAATTACACGATGTGAGAGTAATACACAAAAGACAAAAGTCAACTGCTTTCTTAAACCTCAGAAAAATTAGAATTTTAATACCATAGGCCATAGTACCAAAAAAATAAGTGCATAGGAAAACATGATGGAAGACATCAAAGAAGATCCACACAATTGGTAGATATTCCATGTTCATGGTCAAGAAAACAAAATTTGTCAAGATGTCAGTTCTTCTCCAAGGGATCTACAGACTCAACACAATCCAAATCAAAATCTCAGCAAGTTATTTTGTGGTCATTAACGAACTCATTCTAAAATCTAAGTAGAAAAACAAGATTCTGAGTAGCCAACATAATATTGAGGAAGACCGAAGCTGAAACACTGTCATTACCTGACTTCAAGGCTTACTTTAAAATCGCAGAGTGGAAACGTGTGACACTGGCAAAGAAACAGAGACGCAGAGACGAGGATGAGCAGGCAGCACAGACACCAAGACAGACACCGTCAGCGCACCCCGGACAAGGAGCAAGGTGATTCAACAGAGCAGTGACAGCCTCCAGCAAGTGACGTTGGCACAGGCTGCAACCCACACCCAGAAAGCACACCCTTCTCAAATCAACTCAGGATGGGTCTGAGACCTCAGTGCACACCGCCAAACTCTAGAACTACCGAAGGAGAAATACAGGTGACCTTGGATTTGTCAGTGACTTTTTAGCTGCACCAAAAGGATGATCAAAGAAAGAAAAAAAAACTGTTAAATTGTACTTCATTAAAATTAAGCTTTTGCTCTGCAAAAGACACTGTAGGAAGTATCAGAAGACCAGGCACAACTGAGAAAATCTTTACACACCATGTGTCTGATAAAGGATCAGTATCCAAATGTACAAAGAAGTCTTAAAACTCAACAGTAAAAAAAAATTGATTTATAAAAGAACTGAACAGATACCTAGAAAGAAGATTTAAAATGTTAAATAAGCATATGAGAAAAAGCTCTGGATCACATGTCCTCAGAGATGCAAGTCAGAACAGCACAGGACACCCCGGTCCCCATGGCAAGGCCAGGCTCCAGACATGCCACCCCTACTGCATGGAGGAACTCTCACCTGCGGAAACACTGACACTACCTGACTGGGGGCTGCAGATGAGGCGCTGCTCAGGGAGACGATTTGGAATTGTCTTACAAAACCAAAGTTGCCGTAGGTGCCAACAATCGTGCTCTTGGTATTTACTCACAGGAACTTAAAATCTGTGTCCACACATAAGCCCACACGGCTGTTAACGCAGCTGTACTCGTAGTTGCTACAACCTGGAAGCAACCAAGACATCCTTCAGCAGGCAAGTGGATGAGCTGCGGCAGATCAGACAGGGAGACAGCTACAAAGAGCTGAGCTCAAGCCCTGCAGCCACAGAGGGATCCCAAATGCCGGGAGAGAAGCCAGTCTGAAGGGCGCACACTGCAGGATTCCTGGGCACCATGTGGGAAAGGCTGCGAGGGTCACGTTTCCAGGGTTAGGAGGGCGAGCGGAGGAACAGGAAGAGCTGGTGAGAGCATGCTACTAGATGGTGGGTACATGTCCCTGCACATCGGTGCAGACCCACAGAAGGGTCCATACCAGCAGTGGGGCCCCAGGTAAACCAGGAGCAGGGGTCAACAACCAGGGTGGGTGGGAGCCCGCCACCGTGCCCCGGCAGCTGTGGCAGACTGCCGAGAGGCCAGGGGCACCGGGAGCTCTCTGTACTCTGCTCGTTTTCTCTAGAAGCAGCTGCATGGAGTCTATTGAGAGGCAGACTCCCAGCTGGTTCTCACCCACGGCCACCTTGTTCCAGGTGTATCCAAAGGCCTCCGGCCCAGGCTCCCTGCGCATTTCAAGCTGGGCACTGTAGGTGACGCAGAGAGGCGTGTCGGAGTTTCAGCCCACAGGCCAACACAGCTGGACCCTGGACTGCGGAGCCCAGACGGCCCCAAGGGTTCCGTGGGTCAGCCCGTGCTCCCCCAGGGCTGTGACCTCCCAGCCTCCAAGGCCACAGGAGCACCGCTTGGCTGACAGCAGCACTGCTCTCCCTCCCTCACACAGCACTTGGGGGCCAGGCCTTGTCCTCTCCCTGACCGGAGGACCACAGGGGAGAGGCGGCCCCGATGGCAGAGCTGGCAGGAGACACACCAGCAGGCATCTGGACAGTGACGTGGAAAGGTGGTGTCTGCAGGGGGAGGGACATCGCTGAGGAGCCTGCCGCGTGTAGGGGCAGGGGAGGCCCGAGGACTCGCGAAGCTCCCTCTGCGTCCTCACGCCACGGCCACCAGGCTGTGCCCTTCCTAGGGCTCCCCAGACCTTCCCTTTCTCTGACTGCAGAGGGCCCCAGTGGAGCAGAGGCGAAGCAGGCAGAAGAGGAACCCCCTCCACCCCATGGCCCGACCCCAGCCCGGGGCAGGGCCTGAGGAGGACAGGTCTGGAGAAGAGATCTGTGACACGGAAGGAGGCCAAGCTTCCCCACACAGGACGCTCAGCTTCCGGAACCCATCATTCCACCCACCAGCGCAGGACTGCAGGTCTCAGGTTGTGCCCAGTGGGCTGGCCAGTGGCTGGGCAAAGTCACCGGGAAGGGGCGGGGGTGACAAGCAACTTGTGAAGGTTGACACCGCTGCTTTATTACAGGACAGAGAAGTATAGAGACCCAACTAATGACACACAGCTTAACTTAATTAACATAAACTAGATACAGCAGTCAACCAATAAGGAATCCTCATCTTGACGATTACGCACAGCTTGACTTCATTGACGTCACCTAGACACGCCGTCAGTCATTAAGGAATCTCCATCGTCCTAATGGCTCGCTGGCTGACTTCTCAAACCCCTCCTTCTGGCAAAGTGCCAGGCGCCATCTGGACTTGTCCGTGGCTCTCAACAGCCCCGATGAGTGACTCCCTCAGCTGGGGTGAGTGTGGGAGCAGCCTGTCTGTGTCATCGGGTCACCTGAAGGGTGCGAGGCACTGTGGAGGCCTCCCTGGCTGACCTTGGACCTAAGCTTTGGGCCGTCTTGAGCAGTAGGCCAAGCACATGGCAGGAACTGTGCTCCACAGCTGGAGCCCAGACACGCTGGGGGCACAGGACTCCACAGGGTCCCCAACACGGGGAAGCCTGGGGCACCAGGAGCTGAGAATCAGAGCACCAAGCCCATGGTGACTAGCACCACCCAGAAGCTCAACCCAGGCCCCAGGCACCATGGCTGCCCCCCACCAACCGCTCCTGGCCTCCTGCTGGTTTCCACAGGACTCCACCGCTGGGATGGGAAAGGACCGACACGGTTCTCAACAGCCGAGGTTTCTCACGGGTGTTTAGGGGAAGATGTAACTAAAAAAAATAAAGGCTAATATCCAGGCTTTTAAAAGACAAAAATAAAGGCAGAGGGTAAACCTCTTTAAAGTTGCAAGTTGAAGATGGCCTTGGAGGCGTGGGCACCGTGAGGACCCTGTGTCCTGCCAGGAGCCCATGCAGAGTGTGACCTCAGAGTCCACGAAGGTGCATCCTGCCTTGGAGGTGCAGGGGCCCGTACAGCATCCACTCCCAGTGAGCGAAGGACACATCTTCCACTCTGGCGTACCCAGGTGGCCCCAAGGGTCCCCAGGTGAACCCCAGGTCTATGGTTTCCCCTTCCAGGAGCCTCTCAGCAGACTTGATTCTGCTGGCTCAGCACTCAGCCTCAGAAGCCTCCACAGCCGCCGGCCGAGGTGCCAGGAGCCCTGCAGGGGACCTCGTGTCGGGAGGGAAGCCCTGAGCCTCGAGACCCCTGCAGTGGAGACACTGAGGGCAAGTGGTCAGAGCCAACCTGGGGGCAGGGAGGCAGGTCTCTGCTGGCACCAGGCCTGGCAGGGCCAGGGCCCGGGGTCCCACCAGCAAGCACAGGTGGCCACCCCACTGCTGCACCCCAGAGCACTGTGGCTCTGGAGGGGCCCGTGGAGAGGCCTGAGAGTGAAGAAGGGGAGGGGTGGACGGAGCCTCTGCTGGGCGTCCTTCCTGAGGTGTGCCTAGCCTGCTGGTGAGCACCGCTGACCCTGCTCCCCTCCATCAGAGTTCCTGTGCTGTCAGCCTCCCCTGGGCAGCCACATTCCTACCCTGAGCTCTGGGGGCCCAGGGCTCCCCTGCCCAAGGGGCTCCATCTGTTGGATACCCTTTCTCTGGTCCTTTACCTTGCCCCTTCACTAGTCCCACAGACAGTCATCTAAGATCCCGGAGGAAAGATGAACCCTCCCTCCCTCCTGTCTGCCTGAGTCTCCTCATCGTGACATTACTTCTCCAGATATACCCACAGCCAGGAGGAACCATCATCCCACCCACCCACGGCCAGGAGGAACCATCATCCCACCCACCCAC